ACTACTACTACTACTACTACTACTACTACTACTACTACTACTACTACTACTACGACTACTACTACAACTACTACTACAACTACTACTACCACTACTACTACTGTAAACCAACAGCAACAGCAAAAACAAAAACAACAAAAACAACAATTGCACCTGCAATCACAACAGCAACAACTACAACAACAACGACAATAATAGTAATAACAACACAACAGCAATAACAACAAAAACTACAACAATAACAACAACTACACTTATAACAATAACAATAACTACAACAACAATATACAACAGTAACAACAATAACAAAACGACGACGACAATAATAACGAAAACAACAAGTACAACGACAACAGCAGCAGCAGCACTGAGAAACAACACTTAGACAAACTGGTGTCCAACTATTCAAGCATTTGCCCAACACATTGGAGTCGCAGTCATCAGACTAATGTCGGTCGATACTGCAACCAGAGAGTCCCCCCCCCCCCCTTTCCTCTTTTTTCCCTCCTCTTCCTTGTCAACCCCACATCGGATTTATTGCCGGAGACCTCGAACAAAACCCATGCCTAAATCACATATTATTTATTTCATCATCATCATCATCATCATCATCATCATCATCATCATCATCATCATCATCATAATCATCATCATCATCATCATCATCATCATCATCATTGTAGATTGCAGGGAATAAAAAAGGGTATGAGACTTAGTAGACTTTTCAAATTTAATAAGTTCGACGTTTCGCCCGGTAAAGGGCTTCTTCAGGAACATGTACAAAAAAATATCATCATCATCATCATCATCATCATCATCATCATCATCATCATCATCATCATCATCATCATCATCTACAACAAGAACAAAAACTACAACCAGTCAACAACAAGAATGACCGAAGCAGCAGCACTTTGATGGATAATTGAAGTAATTGATTATCATAAGTTACTTTATAAATCAGTACTGTCGTCAGTACCATCACAATCATTCCCCCTCCTAAAAAAAAACCCAAAACAATATTAGTTTTTAAAAATAAGAAAAAAAACTATAGGAGAAAAGTACAAACAAAATCACCCTCCCCACACCACACACACACACACACACACACACACACACACACACACACACACACACACACACACACACACACACAAACACAAGACAAAACAGAAAAAGACAGCCAACTTTAGTTAGCATCAGCTCAAACAAGGCCTCACTCTTTGCTCACCCATATGCCAGGGGGATCAGCACCAGGGGGGCGATGGCGTAAAACTGCATGTCGGTGGGAAGATACCAAGTCCAACCCATGCACTGTGGAACAGAACACGGAAGTCAAAACATCTTACAAGATTAATTTCTTATGAAACTGAACTTGGGCGTGAGTGTAAGAAAATAGTGTTAAAGTCAACTTGAAAACTTCATTTGGAACCTACATAATAAACTAACAATGCACATCCAAGGTCTCCATCCTTATTGGGGCCACATGTGGATCGATGTGACAGTATTGAATTGAGAGAAAAAACCTCAAACTTACGGGCATGAGGGATTGAGGGAGGAGGGTTGTGGAGAGGAGGGTGGGGGTGGGGGACTTTTAGAGTAGGTACGATAACTAATGTCACGCTGAGAGGTCTCAGGTTTTTGTTTTGTTTTGTTTTGTTTGTTTTGTTTTCTGGAGGGGGTG